AGGCTGCGTTCAGTGAGTTTTCAGGACCAAAATTTAGCCTCGAACGACGCCGGCAGCTACTGCTTGTGCTGTCAGCCTTCTACAGGAACCAAAGTTCTCCAAAAGATGTGCATCTACAAGCACAACTGCTGCTGGCCGGGCTTGTACCAGTGTCAAAATAGCAAACTCCACTGAGGGATACTACCCCTACTACATTTGGAGGGGATCAATGGAACGAATAACAAAAAAAGAAGCTGTTTAGAGCACAGAAAATGAAAAGATCGTGCAGCCTTGCCAATAGCGGAGTCAGCCACAACAGCTCCCACCAGTTAACCTGTTCTAAAACCTCTCTTTAAGCGATACTGCTCCGTTCCCAGAACAATCTGTTCTGGCACTTGACTCTCTCTACTATTAGGAAGATTTTTCTGGACTCGTAGTCTGGATTGTTCTTGCTTCATGCATTACAATTTACATTTATATCTCTAATTCTTTCACCACAGGCATGGTTGTGAACACCAATCATCTGTAACAGGCTTTAGATGAACGAGGAACTTTTGCTCCCTCCTTCTTCCAATCTTCTCTTCTTTCGGCCAACCAACTCCCATTTTTCCCAGTCCCCCCCAGCTGAGCTTTCCAGACCCTAGCCATTCTTTTTTTTTCTCCTCTAACTTACCTGCAGGTGGCCAATGTATTTTTTTTTACTATTTATAACCCAGTTCCGAAGTGCTTCTCATCAGGCTGGTCACAGGTAAACCAAGTTTTCCCCTGCACAGACCAGGGTGGGCATCCATCCCACTGACTTGCAGGTCCCTAGCTAGAATCCATCATGGGTTTAGCTAACCAAGTGTGGCTAGCCAAACCAATTACCCTGCCCTTCTGGGAAGGGATTTCACAGGAACAGCAGGCCATGCGACTACTTAGTAATAGTTCTAGGTTTAATTTTACCCAAACAAATTCATGCAACTGCAGTTTATTCCACATCTTCCCTCTCCTAGGCTCCAAGCTTGAAAAAAAATCCTAAAAGTAATCTTTTCCGTTCAGCCTTTTTAATCCTTGCCCTAGCATTACATCCAAAATTATTCCGCGGTTACCACTTCTACAGTGATTAACTACATTAGTACTGACTGAGCTCCACCAGTGGACTGTCTGACACCGAGCAGAGACTAGGAATTTTGTCACCATTACAGAGAACCAATATTGTCCAGAACCAACATCGGCAGAGTGGTTAAAAACCAAACAGGATTAGTGGCTCTACCATGTACCCTGTGCCAGTGATCTGTTGTACAGGACAAGTTTTCTGGACAGCTGGCTAACGCAAACTAAGCTCCAATTCACTACTTCAGGTTTCAGGCTTTGTATTGTACTTAGAAGGAAACAAAAATTCTAAGGTAATACTGACATTAACACAAAGTGAAATTATGGAAAGACACGGAAGTAAGTACACACCATACAGCAAGTGGTTCATGATGTATTTATGCCATTAAGTCATTTGCTCATGCATTTTCACAATTCATATGGACAGGTTTGTTCAAGTAACAGATAATTAATATACTAAGCTGAACCTCCCAAAACAGCAAACCAGCTTCAGGAGGAAGAACCATATATTACTTTCTATTACTTCTTTTGGCAAATCTGTAGTACGACTGATAGTATCAGGACACTTAGTTTGAGCCAAAAATCGATGGTACTATACACTATGCTTTGACTTGAAAAATTTATTTGCTTCATAAGAATGTAATCAGTAGATTACGAACTGATTACTTCAAGTTGCTTAGTTAAAATTGCTTTAGAAAAAAGAAATTTTAACGCGATTAAGAGTACTGATGTATTTAGCAACACTAAAACAGGCAATGTTTAAAATTAACATAAAATATAAGAAAACGTTTTCAGCCATGTAAAAGAATGTCACATGTACTTCAATATACAGGCTACATTGGTATTACAATTAACTTTCTTTTTCAGACTGCTTCAGTATAAAGAAGTTGAAAATGATACAGTCCAACTAACACTTCATTTCTTTCAAAATGAAGAACCTTTGAAACAACAAAGTGTTACAGACATAATATTGGAAAAAACAATTTATGCACAGGTTGAGAACCCAGTTCTTTTGACACTTACACGTGTTCTACTGACAGCGAGGCTGCGGACGTGAATAAACAAATGTACAAGCAGGCATTAAAATATTCCAGTTCAACATGATTCTGGTATTTTAAAACAAAACAGTTAAGAATGCCACAGCTATAACCAAGGAAAAACATGTAACAAACTATTGCACTCCTTTTGCATAGCTAGATTTTTGGGGGAAAAAAGCTTGCAAAGAAAGAAGCTGCTCACGTGCGTGCAAAAATTCCTGAATTCCCTTTTACCATTTCATTCTCACCAAGAACACTGGAAGGCAGGTTTCAGACACCAAGGCAGTGGATTTCCTCTTCTTTTAACAAAGAAAGAATCAATTATAAATGTAATAAGTTTCTATTCAAATAGTAAAAAAAAAAAAAAAGCTACGGAAATATTTTGTATACTGACCTGGACAGATAAGCAGGGAATAATGATGACAAAACTATCAGATGCTGTCACAGGTTACCGCTGTTTAGTTCATACCTAAATGTTTCACAATTAATTACAGAAAATTCTAAATATTGTTGGTCCAGCTCTCCGTACAGGTGAAATACAATATGCATTGTTCATTGCATACAAGATAATACACAATTAGAAGTGCTTCTGGACACCACTGAACAACCATGGCCAGGTTTCCACAAGGAAAGAATGAGTCCTGCAATATTTGCGTGCTCTTCACCTGAAACAAGTAAGTACACCTGTAGTCTCCAAACAAAGGCAGGGATGTTTTCAGAGGTTTTGTTTATTCGTTTTCCTCTTCTTTTTCTCCTCTCCTACATATTTTGGAGCAGACTCTTTCATTCTGCCTGTCTGCAACCCAATCTTATGTAGTACTTATAACTACTGATTCTGGAAAATGAATATAAAGTCTTACTAAATTTTCCACCTAAGTGTGATATCTCAGTCATAAGTCAGCAGTGGGCGTGGTCCTTTTTCAAGATCTAGACCAGTAACTTACTTTTCCAATACTCAGTTACCACTGAGGCATGATGCTATCTAGTCTACTGACTGCCCACAAATTCTCCTAATACTAATAATTTTTAACCTTTTTAAAAAACTATGCCTGCAAACAGGATTCTGAAAAAGCTATTTTATTTTAAGAACCCACTTCTCTTGTGGTCAGCAACAAGATTTCAGGGAAATTCTGAAAATGTTATACTCTAAAAAAGGAATTTTTACATTCAGTCTGGCAACTTCCATATACAGAGCAGTTGCATGATTACAGACAACATGGCACCAAATATGGAGAGGAACTTAAAAAAAATATTGTGAATTTGTTTTCTCAAGTAGCAGTGAACTAACAGTTTGGATGTGAAGGAAAGAGAAATGCATTTCCACTCTGTCCTATCCTCACTTTTAGTCCCTATTCACACTTACTTAAAAAGATGATATTTAAAACAGTCTGTGATGATCAGTCACTCAGCTAGACTCCAAAATAATAGTGGTGGTTCAAGGCAACCCAAAATACCCTTTAAAGACTATTCCTAATGTTTAGAGTTCTACAAGTCCTCTTGCAATAAAGACTACATCGCATTTTTAAAAAAGGGCAATATTCAAAGCAATCAAATGTCAATTTCATCAACAACACTCTTCCCCCCTTTAGGACATCGTCAGAGATCCTCCAAGGGGCTAAATTCCCTGCCAGGAGTAATTCTATCCTAACATTGACCAAAAAAAGATATATATTTATTTTATATTTACATATTATACATATTTACATTTTTTTAATACTACAGTTGTAGAGGGAAAAAAAAACCACCCTGGATGCAGATTTATTATCTGCCTTTAAATGTCCCAACAGTATTTTTTTCCCTTTGAAAAAATTTACAAGTCCTCTTCAGGTCCTTTGAAAGCTAGATACAGTCCACGTTCCGCAGGCCACCATCCGTAGTCAAAGCACCAAATCTAAAATGAAGAAGCAGTATATTCTTAGGTGACTGAGTAGATTATAGAACCCATCCTTTATTAATTTTAATTTATTTATGGGTTTTTCCTTTCCCTGCCACATGCTAACACACGCATTTGTATCTATCTCCTGTATGTCAAAAGAAGATAGACGAGAGGATACTGTGCTCCAAATATGGGATTGGGGAAAAAAATAAAACCAATTCAGCTTGAAGCTAAACTCAGCTCTACAGAAATTTACCCTGAAGCTTTCAGGTCATCATTATTTTTATATATTTTATCATCGTCATAGGAAAAAAAGCAAAGTCAGCCTGTATGTGGTAACAACAATACTCTCTCAGAATTGTAAAAAATATGTTGGCCTCTTCACTTTATTTAAGCAACCTGAAAACTGCAAAATCATTCATTCAGATTGCTGTAATTCCACAGTTGTTAGAAATTATGTCTAAAAGTGAGGAGTTAAAAGTCACCACTGATTTCTGCAACAGATTGTGTTTAAGTTCAGAATTAATCCATCTGTGCAACAGATGTTTTTATTAGCTAGACATAAGTAACGTGAAACAAAAATGCCATGATTGCTGTGTCAGAATGATTTTGCAGTAGTGTTTCAAGGGTTTGAAGACGTCTTCTTTTTGGTTACACCTCAGATCAACAGTTCAGAATATATTTACAGTTGAAGAGATTACAGAATCGTCCCTTAGTTCAAGTTCTGGATCTACAACATGTACCAAATTAAGCCCATTCCTAGTATCAGCCCAAAAAGGGAAAACAGTTGCTTGCCTTTCCAAAATGTGATTGTTCTCAGCCAGCTCTTTAACAACTCCTTCCATTTCCTCCTTTAGTTTTTTCATACTGCAGTAACAAGATGAAAAAGAGAGGTTACAGTTTTTATAGGGATGGTTATCTGCTATGATCACTCACCACCACACAGCTTTCAGCAACTTGCCATTACACACAAAATAAGGGACAGGTAACAAGTTGGTTATTTGCTAAAAGCGAGGGACGATACGTTAGCGTTGTCCCCTACTCGCTTCCAAACCTTTACCACCACTTCAGCAATATAAAGTTTTTCCTGCAACATAAAATTCTTGATCTTAATACAGTAATCACTAAGGCAACCATAAATTTTTTTTTCAATTCGCCTGTATAACAGGTGTAGAATATTCCACCAATCCAATTAAGAATTTCTCACCCAAGAGTCATTTCCACTAATGTGTTTGAGCTTGGATAGACTGTATTCATCGTATGTTTCATCCCACTGGAAGCTGCAAACATTTTCTGCGGCAGAGCATCTTGTAACTGTAATAGATAGAAAGGAAATGTAAGTTACAATATAAGTTGTCACAGGTATCTTGAGGTCCACCTTAAAATCCTTCTTTAAATTCTTCATTGCTATGATGCCTCATAAAAGCATTACAGTAGTAGTGCAGCTGATATTCCCTAAGTTGAGATCACCATGGCAAGTTCTGTATTGACACGACCTGTAGTCCCTGATTTGTTCCGTCTTCTTAACTGCCTTATACTTTATAATAAAGTTTCAAAAGGACAAATTATCCATTTGTCATGTTTGTAGATCTCCTAAGGCAACAGGATCCCAATCAACAGCTGACTTTGGTAGTGCTACTAAAATACAATCGACAAGTAAAATGCTGCTCTCTACCATTCCTTAATTGCTTTTACCCCTATCAGGTGCTTTTCTTTCATTTATATTTCCTCTATAAAGAATATTAAATTTACTGTATGAAAATGCTCTCATTCTCTCAGTTTTGAGGTAATCCTGGTAAGTTTGCATCCTGTAGAGTCACCGTCCAAATTTCAACAAAACATTTTCTTTCACGCCACCAGCAGCATTAGTTCAGCATGTATCCTTCAGTATGTATCCCCCAATCTTGGAATATGGGAGTAGTGTTCTGATGCCTCATAAGAGCATTAAGATCATCCTCTAGGTGCACAGATACCATTATGCTAACAGTTACACAGAACACTTCTCCATGAACCCATATCCATCTGCACAGAACTTTTTGGGGGAATGCTAATGCTACCACACCCCACCCCCAAAAAAACAAACACCAAAAAAAAACCCAAAACCAAAACAACCCCACCAAACTCCAAAATCAAGTCAGGATTCAAGATATCACACCACACTCTCTCTACCACTCTGACATCAGCAATGAAGCTACTACAGACCAAATACCGCATCCCTGCAGCCCTGTATTTTAATACAACTTCATTAATGTGAGACTCACTACAAACAAAACTATTGACATTAAACAATGTGGAACAGTCTTTTATCTATGCAAACACTTTACAGAATTTTGAAGCATTCTACCTCATTTATATAATCCTGGTATTTGGATACCTCTTCTTCAATATCAAAACACTGGTTGGTGAGGGCCAGTAACTGCTTCCTTGTGTGAAGCATTTTCCTAAAAGAAAAGAAGTTTTAAGGGCTTCCTTTATGAAAGTGGTGCAGTGAACATTACCAAATAGTAAAGAAATCAATAGCTTGCCTTGTCCAGTCCTCAGCCTTGTCCAAAAATGTATCATACTTGCTGACACATTCATCTTTGAACAGAGCTATGGCTTTTGTAGCATGCAAATACAGCTTTTGCCTGCAACACAGAAACAACCGGAACAGTGTTATACTGCTTCCAAAACCCCGTTCCTCTAACTTACTTTCTGAAACTTGGAGAAGAGGTATCCGGACTTCAAATCCCCTCAGCCACCTTTATTCATGCTGTTGCAATGTAATGTTGTATTCAACACACTGCAGGAACTGACAGTTTATGTTTCAAAAATATTCCCTAGCAGGGAGGAAAAAAATATTACTCGGAGCATTTAGTTGCCATTATTTGTATATGAACAAATGGTCACAGGTCTTGTCCAAGTCAGTATTTATCCAAGCAGGTATATTTAAGGAAAAGGGATTTCAAACAGAAAGGCCAAAAATCCTTATTATTTATTTGCCTTCTGCAGATATTTGGGACTTCCAGCACATATGAATGATCCTTTGTGCTGCGCAATATACATGCAAGAAAAAAACGAGGATTTTTGTGTCAGCTTAAATTTATGGCAAGAGAAAAAAGCAAGCAGGTAAGGAAAGCAAAACAAAACTCCATTCAGGTTAGTGTTGCAGACAGCAATCCCAGCGTAACTGCCTTACCATGCTATGCATTGCACCAGTAAGTGAAACTAAGGGATACTGGGACACTACAGTCTAACACCTGCTTCTGGTATTTCATTAAGTCTTGCATGACAGCTATAGGCTAATCAAATTCCGGCTGGAGTGTAGCTGGATTGTCATCAGGCACGCATACCTATCATTCAACCGGAAAAAAAAAAAAAATCTGAATTGAGCGCTGCTCCCTTGTCTGTCTACTGGTAAATATGAGGAGGCCAGCCTCTGTGGCTAACGGCACACAGCTCTTAACTGAAACCACTGCCATTTCTCTCTGGGGTGAATCAAGTCAAGTAAGATGTAGTCACGATCTCAAAGATACCTGAACAATCCCAAGGAGACATTTGTGGCAGAAAATATACCAGTATTCAGAACTATGCAAATGAAGCCTATTTATTTAAAGTTATTCACGTAGTAATGCAAGGACACAGTATGAGTAGCAGAAAAAGCCCTAACATTTCTTTAATCTGCCCAAGGGAGTGCGGTTTTAAAATGAGCTATGGATTTCATCCCAATGTTTGCCTGCTTTCCAACCACATCCTTAAGAACACGACAAAATTATCGCTCACGTTCTCTCTTGCGTTACACTCAGTCCCTTGCTGTCGCAGGGCAATGATGTGTCCAAGTCTCTTTCAGCATATCAAGGTATGTCTTACAGGTTTCCTGCCCCTACTGCCCTTTATCTTAAGGCAACCTCCCCTCCACTTGGCAGTTACCCCATTTAGCCTTCAGTATGGGAAAACTGAGTGGCATGGCTGTGAGAATACCCGTGCCTTCTGCGTGTAGCTTTCTATCTGTAATTGTCAGTGAAGCCGCACCAGCGGTAGCAACGGCAAGAATTTTTAGAAAATTATGAAAACAATGTCTAAATTCATATAGCATTCAGCAAAGTCTAGGGAGCCACTCAAGTGACCAGTCACTAGGAGAATAACTTAATTACTTAAACACAGGCATCTAGCATCATTTGAGACACACAAGGACATCCTGCTCTGCTTCCGACTGTCTATCCAGAAAGATGCAGGTTTCCTACGTGTTTTGTGTCCGACCTGCCGGTCGCAGAGCATGTCTCAGATACCTGAGGGCAACTTAAATAATATCAGGAGCTGAAGTGATCCTGAGACAAGTACAGCAGCATGAGCAGAGCAGCTGTTTACAGTTGCTCAAGAGTTAAGTCAGCAGAGTCAGTGGAGCCTAAGGGGACTCTAGGCACCCAGGTTACACGCGTACACTTAATGTGGCCACCTCTCCTAAGTGACAATTTTAAACAGACATGGAAAACTGCATCAAAATTTATTTTGCGTGCTATGTTTCCTGGAAGATGAGATCATTCTAGAACTTCATTCAGGTAACCAATATTTTATTCATCTGGAGAAAACTATCTCCATTGCAGTTACAAAGCCACTTCACCCTTACTGAGGGCTTTTTCCTCCCTAAAAAATCAAGGGAAAAAAAAAGTGCTTCCTGTAAGACAGTTATGCCCAGATAACAAACAGGTATTTCACACCTACATTTAGAAGGTCTGTCAGTGAAGAAACTCCACTGTCAGAAAGCACCTCATTATCATATGCTGGCACCCCTATATATTTCAGATATTTAAAGGAATTTTTTTACAAAGTGATCCTAAAGAGGTTACAATTTACAACAAAAATCAACAGAAGAGGTTATTGGCAAGAGCACCTGAAGGACCTGAAAGCAATCATGGTGTTTCCCAAAGGTAACTTCAAAACTTACTTGTCAAACTTGTGAATTTGTTCTTCATTATAAGGAAGCCCTAGGATCAGAGCAGACGACAGACATTACCAGTTCAATTCTGTTGTATTGATGCAAAACTCTACTAAGTTTACCCATTTCCTATATGGTTTCTTTCTCCTATCCTGATAAGTAAAAGTCGTCATTTACATTTTAAAATTCCTTTCCAGTCTTGCAATTCAAATTTATGAGATTAATAGTGGTGTTTCATTCATATGGGCTTTAAGATGGTATCTCACTAAGAAAGACCTACAGATGTATTCCCTGTTGTGGACTAACTCTCCATCCCTACCACAAATATCCTACTGGAACAAGGAGTGACATCTCCTTTACATTACAGCTTATGTTAAAAGTGAATCAAATAAGTTACTTACTTCGCTCTGCTTTGTCTTTTTTGAACTGATAATAAATATCTGTGATGGAACATAGCAGCGCCTGCAGCCTTTCTGGACTAGAGTGACAAAAGGAAGAAAACTCATTATTTTATATATAAACTTAAGTACCTATTAATGAGTAATATGAACTACAACTCAATGTAGTATTCGATATAGACTAAAACAATTAATACAGTTACTCACTTTCTGTCTTTTGGATGCATGCCTTCCTGATTTGCCCAGGCGTCAGACAGCAAACCACCAGGAGAAAGTTTGGTTTTGATATCTTGAAGACTAGTTTCTATTGTGCCCTGAGAGCTGGAGAGCTACGTAAGAGCAACAAAGTTAAATCTTACCACTGGGTAAAGTGAAAAATTACTTGAGGCTGAAAACAGACTGAACACGTTAATACTACAGACCCATTTGTTTCACTGACCTTCGTTAAAGAAGTATGCCAAATTATCTGCCTAGGCTTTGCTAAAAGCAGATGAAGCATGGTATTATTAAAGAAAGAATCATCTCTGATGCTGGCATTTCTGTTAGTATTTATTTTCTTTCAACAAGAAGTTTCTACCTTTCACATATTTTCTGTTTACTTCTAACACTTGTTCTTTCGGTTTGTTAAGAATTTGTATAATGACTACCCACATAATTATACCTTTCTTACTCTGCAGTTCACGATACCTTAAAAATAAAAATGCACTAATCACCTTTTGCTTTTAGAATGGAGAACTTTCTACCTGCTCCCAGGACACCAGGGTGTAAAGTTACTCTCAACTTTTCCTTACTTGTCTGGAAACATGATGAAAATTTAGAGGCAGATCACTCTGAAGTGTGTTTGTGTATGCATCATTTTAGAAAGCCAACAAAGTAGTTTGAAATTATTTAAGAAAAGGGAAAAAACCTGCAAAGTAAAATATATTCCGTGGTTATAATTTTTTATTCGAGTGTTTTAGAATATGAGAACGTATCTTCAGGAACTTATTATTTTCACTACACTGGGCTAATAAAAGGATTTACACTGTTTCCCGAAAGCTATCCACAGCTCAGTATGGGCATTTTAACAAACTTTGGCAGTCTAGAAATGACTTTGAAAATTCAGAGTTGTTATTCACAGGAAAACCTGTGTTATCATGTATTCGGCTTTTTCTTTAGAAACACTATTTTGAGACTGACACAGGCTTTGTAAGATACTTACACGCAACAGTTTTGTGTGTATCTCTGAAATTTCATCCACTTCTGATGCTTCCAAGTTTATCTGCATCAAATTCTCACATCTGATCACACACACAAAAAAATTAAAAAGAAAATAAGCAGTGAATACACTCAAAATATTCCTTGAATCTAGAGTGTAGCAATAACTACCTTTTCTTTTATTAGAAATACGGTATCTGTCAAGCAGCAACCATGAAACACTGACAACCTTAAGTGGCCATTAATAATGGAAACATTTTGGTTACAAAAAAAAATTCCTTGATTTTATTTTTTTCCTACATTTGAACTGTTAAAATGAAGTTTGAAACTTCCATTCCTGACTTCTTTATTCTATTCTCATTACTTGTACTCTACAGGCAGTGGAAAACTATTTCCTTTCATCAAACCATTTTTAAAAGGTTACCAAAGTTACCCAAAGTAGCGAACGACACACAACAAACTAATACTCTAGTGCAGCAAATGCTTTTCTGTAGAAACTTACTGGAAAGGCTGAGTTACTAAAACCTTAAAGGCTGTGTTAGTAGCACCATCTGGTCATACTGATAGTTTCCATGTGACCATAGCTCAAGTGCTAAATAAATAATTCAAGACAATACTTTTCCTGTTGAGACTCAGGCACTCTTTATTTTTAAAAACACCAACAAAACCAGCTCAGCTGCTTTCAAAAAATACATACTATGCTCAGGTTCAATACTTTTGTTTACTTTTTCAAAGAAACGCTTTGCATTGTCACGCTTTGAAGCATAGCCCTGAAAAAGGCAGGACAAAGAAGAGGTCATGTCCTTTGCTAACTCCATAAGAAGTCTTCTGAAGTCAAATAAACTGTCAAATAAACAAATAAAATCCTGCCCCTTCGTAAGAGGCTGAAATACCATGTACAAACACATAGCAAATTTCTGTTCACATAAGTACTACATGAGTTTGCAAGTGAACATATTTTTTCTCAAATTGCTGCTCTGAGATACTGCTGAATGCACTAGGGTCACAAATCAGAACCTACATGGTTTCTTCTAAGCTCTAAGTGGCTTTCTTCTGCAGGGACCTGGCAGAATGCAGGAAGACGCTACCTGAACCAAATACAGAATGAACAAGAACCAGTCCTGTCAACTAGTGTAAACTGGCTTGAAGGAGAGTTTGGATACAGCCCTGATGCTTTGTAACTAGGCTACACAGGTATACTGTGATCTTCCTACTTACCAACTTTGCTAATTTCACTGTTGCGTGGGTTGTTTTTTTTTTTTTCTTTTAAAGCAAGCACATTAAAGCCCAGGTGTGCCAGTTTGTACGTGTTTGGCATGCACACTGCAAATCTGACAAACCCTTGGGTATCCTTGAACCACTACATTCAAGCTGTCCAATTCGCATATGCACAGCAGCTCCAGCATCACAAATGGCGTCCCTCAGGGGTCCATACTGGGACCAGTGCTGTTTAATTTCCTCACCAATGACACAGGCGGTGGGATCGAGTGCACCCTCAGCAAGTTTGCAGATGACACCAAGCGGAGTGGTGCGGCTGATACGCCTGAGGATGGGATGCCATCCAGAGGGACCTGGACAAGCTCGAGAAGCAGGCCTGTGAAAGACATGGACCTGTTGGAACGGGTCCAGAGGAGGGCCATGAAAATGATCAGGGGGCTGGGGCACCTCCCCTGCGAAGACAGGCTGAGGGAGTTGGGGTTGTTCAGCCTGGAGAAGAGAAGACTTCAGGGAGACTGTATAGCAGCTTACCAGTAGCTGAGGGGGGCCTACAGGAGAGGTGGGGAGGGACTGTTTACAAGGGCACGTAGCGATAGGATGAGGGGCAATGGTTTTAAACTAGAAACAGGTAGATTTAGATCGGATATTAGGAAGAAGTTCTTTACCATAAGGGTGGTAAAGCACTGGAACAGTTTGCCCAGAGAGGTGGTGGAGGCCCCATCCCTGGAGACATTCAAGATCAGGCTTGATGGGGCTCTGGGCAACATGATCCGGCTCAAGATGTCCCTGCTTACTGCAGGGAGGTTGGACTGGATGACCTTTAAATGTCCCTCCAGCCCAATGCATTCTATGATTCTATGATGATGTTATAGAAAATGCCTTTGTGGGCAGGTGTGGCTACTAGCCAGGACACCCACTCTTGCAAGAACGCTGAATAAAGTACTTCACTGCAGAGCCTGACCTGAGTCTTTCATGGGAGACATTGTTTCATATTTCCCCCAGATATAAGGAGAAAATTTTTTACAATGAGGGTGGTGAAACACTGGAACAGGCTGCCCAGAGAGGCAGTAGAAGCCCCATCCCTGGAGACATTCAAGGTCAGGTTGGATGGGGCTCTGAGCAACCTGATCTGGCTAAAGCTGACTGCAGGGGGGTTGGACTAGATGACATTTAAAGGTCCCTTCCAACCCAAACTATTCCATGATTCTATTCTTAAGTCCACGCTGCAAACCAAATGGCTCTACGTGTGTGCATTAATCACCTTGTGGGCATCTGGGATTCCAAAGCAGCCTGGAAGCAAGTTTAGAGAATCCTATGACCAGGACAGCATTTGGGGGAGACTTGCAGGAGGCTGAACAGAAAAGCAATTACCCACAGGAGAATCCTATGAAGAGCTGGGGTTTAAAGTTTGTATCAGACTGCATAAGAAAAACACACCTTAAAGATGGAGCTCATGCTAGTTTGTGGAAAGACTGAACAAAACACTGCAAGGACACTTTAAAAATGCAAAAGAATGTGACTGATAATTGGACATGGAGCAGGACTCAGAGATGAAATAAAGATCAGGAGAAAGAAAAAAATGAAACTTGGAGGGAGAATCCAGTGGTGTAATCCCATCTCCTACAGACAGAACTTGACTGAATGTGGTAGGGCAGGAGAGTCTGACCACCAGAAAACACTTGCTGCCTTGGAATGGAAGACAAGAGAAATAAGATTCTTCTGTGGTCTTTGAAACTTGTAACTCTCCTATGCTAAAAGGTAACAATTTTTTAGTTGCTCCTTTTTAAAAATTTTGGCAGTTTTAAAGAAAGAGCTCTAAAAAGCTTTCTACTATATAGATGCAAACGGGTTCATATGGGCAACAGTGAGATTCTGTGATACAGACCTCCGGCATATGAATTAACTAAACCAGACGAAAATAAGATAAAACTAAGGCACATTAAAAAATAACAGAGGCAGAATTTCCTGCACAGTTTACTTTTGTCATCCCTATGTGCATGCACTGTGATCTAGTGATATCCTAATGCAGATTTGGGTTTTGGTTTGCTGTCTTTTTTTTTTTTTTTTAATTGCAACTGCTCTGTTATATTTCAACATTAAAATTCCTTCCATGCAGAAAACGCTTTGGTCTTAAAACTGTGAAAGGAACAGTATTTAAAGTCATCCTTAATAAAAACACACAAGCAAACTCAGTGACAAAAGCTCTAAAGTGCTAATGAAAGGAAAGCTACTCAATTCTTTGTCCAGGCTTTACTATAGCTTCTAAAGTCAACAACAGCAAATGAGCCGAGTCAGAGGAGAAAGGAGAAAAAGAACATACACAATTACTAGTCAAGAGTAATTAACTTGTCCCCACTAGGTTAAGCAGCAAAATTAACTCTCTGAGTAAAGCATATTACTAAAACTGCTTAAGTCACTGCTGTCAGCAAATCCGTGCTGATTCAAATTTATTTTTTATATGCAAAAATCCTGTAAATAAACATAACTTAAAATATCGCTGTCATTAAAGATGACAATGAAAAAATCAGTGCATCCAGTGTAGCGCTTCTACTTACATTTTCTCAGCTTTCTCAATGTTTCTGCTGCAGAAATCCAGCTTGATGACAACCTCCGTCTTTTTATGAACCATTTCATTGTAATCATCCTTGATTACTTCACTAAAAAAATTAAGCATTAATTAACATATACAAAAGTATTCAACTGCCATCTTACCAGCAATCAGTAATACAGTAACACACCTACAGTAATAACTGCTAGTAAGAATTGCTTTCAGTTAGAGATGTGCATTAGTATAACCCTCATATGAAACTATCTAGTGCAAGCTACTCAATTGTACTTGCATGTAACCAGAGGTTAAATTTTCCACAGAATAAAGTGAAATTGCAAATACCTAAACCTTATTGTCAGAAAAAATAATTTTTGTTTCTTTAATGATAGAAAGAAGGAAAAAAAATTCAGAAAGCCTATTCATATTCAAGGAGTAAAGAAAACCTCCCAAGACACTGGGACATGACAGAATTATGTATTTATAATCAAGGCATATCTCAATTAAAAAAAAAAAAGCACAGTGAAATTCAATCAATTGCTTACATTAGCCATCGTATTCCTTTTCGCATCAGCTCCTGGTAAAGCAGCAAAGAACTGGCAACTCTACAGGCATAACATACAATACCTGTTACTGCCTGGTGGAAAAAACAAACGACATTAGTACTAACCTGGCATTGTCTCAACAATTGTTTTGAGTCAATTAATCACAACAAAGCAACACAGATTAATAAAAGAAAGAGCAACATGAAGATGATAGTTTAAAATGCATAACTTTGCCCAAACTGTAGTCGGGAGAGAACCAAACACTCATTATGGAGGCAGAGCTAAACATGGTAGTGAGATTTTCCAGTTATGCTGAAGTATCTGTTAGGGATGAAAATAAGTCTCTTGTAAACAAAAATGACACCACTTACTCTCAGGATTTACTTTAATTTCTGGAAAGTCACAAGTATATTTTTTTAGTAGTTTAAGAACTAAACACATACATTAAAAGAAACTTGTAAAAAATGACACATTTTTAAATTCTAAGGCTAGGGCCTCTTTTAATTCACCTAATTCCACTTACAAGTTTGCTGCATTACTTAGAATTGTGAACAAAGTTTTAGAAATTATAATTTACATTGTATATAATATATACTGATTATATATGTAATATATATAATTAATATTAAATGACAACTTTCTGTTTATTAATTTTAAAGACTCCTGGCATTCAAAGAGACACATGCTTTCAGGACTACCATGCCTGAATATAAGGCTCCTCAGAAGCCACTATTTTATAGGCACAGTGTAAATGGTGGTCACAAAGTCAAAGCATGCCAAAGCACACATTCAGTAGTTTTAGAAAAATGACCAAAAGAATGAAATCCTCTGTTTGCCTCCCACAGATTCTGAAAATTTGCAAGAAAGGCAACAGAAATTCCACTCTTCTGCAGAGCCCTAGAGACCTCTCTCTATTGAGAGAAAGATGAAAGTTATTTTTCTTATGTTCAGTTTTGCACCATCGCAGGGGATGTTACGAATCTTCTAGCTAACTTCAGGACTCCAAAGCGGCACACTCCTTTCTCCCCATCACTGAATTATGCAGTAACAAAGCACTTGGACTTTAGAAGGATGTTTTTTGGGTTTTTTTTTCTTTTTTTTTTTTTAAATATACAAACATATTTTTATACAAATCATGGCTTTAATATACTTTTGGAGCCCTAGTTAACAAATATATTTCCATCAATCAGAATCCTCACTAGCATATTAAAAACAGTTTCATTAACATTATTCATCTGGAAATCAAGTAGCTTTCATTTCAGTATCATTATCTGAGACAGGTATATAAAATCATAATTACTCACTTTAGCCATACTGGCATCCCCATCCAAATCATAACGTTGGTGTACTTTAGGAAGTAAAACTGAAACATAAAACAAACGTCTGTATTTTCTTGTTTTCCATAAGGGACTTCAAAAGTTCAGAGTGTTTCGCCTCCCCACCCTGTACACAGTTTTTATATGTATCTACACAGATTTTCATCTAACCTGTTACTGCCAAGCCTTTCAATATTGTATGGTTCTCATGCACACTTTCAAAACCCGTCTTTGTCTTAAATGCTTTAAATACCCTGGTAACTCCAACAAATTGTCCTTCACTTCCTTTTCCAGACCCACTTTTGAACACGCTGCACACCACAGATTTCACACGTCTCCACTAGCGACCTCTCTCCATTGAGAGCGCCACCCTGTTATTTCTGTTCTGCAGCCCTATGTTTGCCCACATGGGAGACGGTTCCCTCTCATCTCATGGCTGCTTACTTTCATTAAGACTCTTAAGGGCAGGACTTCACCAAATAGCTTTTTAAGATCTAGGGTAGCCTCTATCAGCTGAATCTCCTTTGTTCTCCTGCTCATTGCCTCCTTCAGAAAGCTCTGACACAATATAAAAGCCCTGTTGATCCTTCCACGAACAGCTCACCTACCCACACTCTTCAGCACCTCCGTGCGAGTGCCAGCTGGCCCGAGCTGTCAGCATGCAGGACATGCCGACAAAAGCAACACTGACCTCTCCGCTGGAGGTATGCCCTCTTATAAAAAAGGGCTCTGGTACAGGGCCCTCTATAAGCCTCTCAGTGACAAACGGAAATGCAAAAACTTTATTTCTTTTTTTTCCCTTTTCTGTCATGGCCCTACCTTATCTTCTAAGCAAAGGTAAGTTGTTGAGACCTCTTCTGTTAACTGAAAGGCTAACCACGCTCATGACAAACAAAAAAAGAAAGCAAACAAAACTTGGAATTTCCACTCAGTGAGTAATGGAACAAAAGAACCAGCTTTGAATGACATTCTATAATGTTCCTTTCTGTTTGTTACAAGTGTTATGCTTCAAAAAATTTCAGGACTCCATATGCACCACTACATCTTAACACAGAAATGCTCACGTTCACAGCACCCAGGAACATTACAAGCAGCTACTGTTTCTGTAAAAATATGATGGACACTGAGGATTTTTAGAAAAATTGGACTGCATAGTTAGAACTTCAGGTATGCACAGAGAAAATTTTCAAATGCTATTTCTAAGACATATCAGACATAAACTGATAGTTAAATAACCCAAATCATTCACAAAAGACAGCTATAAGAAATGGGAAATGACTTTCATATACCTTCTTCATAGATTAATCCGACAATGTTCACAGCCTCCCTGCTTACTACAAAGATAGGATTCTCCTCAGTTGTTCTGGGGAAGTGCTGTGCCAATCTGCCAGGCTCTAGTATTAAATGCCGACCTTCATATATCAGTTCTTGATTCTGAGATGGTATTTTTGTCTGTTTGTAGACCAATTCATGAAATATAGCAGCTCTATAATACAAACAATATATTCAGTAGTAGTTAGACTCACTACAATAGTTCAACAATTTAGATTTTCTATTACTTAGGTAAAAATCCCTTTTATTTCTGATTAATTAAGAACTGGCTTTACACACAAAGCATATGACTTACAAGCAGAACAAAAAGCAGCACACTGCCTAAGGCTCCAGGTTGCTCTGTTACAAAAACAAATGTTATTTCCTGCAAAATATCAGACTTCCCTTTCTACCTCTGATTTTCCACCAAAGCACGTCTGTGTAAACAAACCTGCTTTGGCCTGAAATCTGAAGGCCAGTAAAAAAAAGGCAACACCAGATGAGAGGAAGGAAGCACACTTTAATTTTCTCAGGCACACCCATTTCTTCAAATGAAATTGATGGCCTCTCCAAGAGAAAAGTCTTTGTTTTACGTGTCAAGAACCACACACCTTAAATTCAGCCTGTTAAGCTAACAGACAGCCAGATTATCTCCTAAACCAGCAGTCACAAAGAAGACCAAAGACACTCTCGTATTTTATTTCCAGCAACCAATAGATACAAGGCATAAGATTTTACAACCTCCCCCTAAAAAAAGAAAAAACACCTAACAACCAACCAACCAACCAAACAAAACCTCCCACAAAGAAGAAAACCCTTACGCATGCTAACAGGAAGGACCACTTTGCCTCCTGTGCAGCACTAGTGCACTGTCACTTCTTATACTGCAGCTAGTATAGAAAACATTCATAAAGCTAAATAATAGTAAGACTTCAAAAAAAAATAAAGTACAAATAGCAGTTTAAGCTACAAGCAAGATTTCTCTGCAAAAATAGTATCTGGGTTCTCTCAAAATACAAATAACAGAATAGAAAAGAAAAATTGGAAAAGGCCAGAACTGTATTGACACATTTGATGAAATAACTGTATCTGCTCGCATACTAGAGAATAACATGTACTCTGCATTATCTGTAATAAGGCGGAGAAAAGGCACTTCTTTTTGTATCACATTGTAAACCAGACTTTACAGCTTTTAACACCAGCACTTAATGGCCATAAAGTGAACTCTGTTTAACTTGGGATCTTAAATTGTACCAATTACAACTTCAGAATCCCTGTGAGAATTTTGTATCAGACACAGATGATGTGCACATTTTGTATTCTTGAGGACAAGACAAGAAAAGTGAGAACTGAACACAGTCTCTGGAAAACTACTTTGTAAATAAGTAACATATACGAATGTGGGATGAGTCAGTGCTCATTAAGAATATGGACACGCTGTAACACGTCGTTAACATGTCAAGGATTAAGTCTGTGTTCTGTCACTGATTAAGACCAAGTTTAAGATCACTTGCTTTGACCTTCCATGATTTTAGTTTTATTTTCGGTCAACACGCTTCTACGCACTGTGACTACACAGGAGAATTACACGCTGTCACTTCCTCAGATAAATTGCCGAGAAAAGGCTACTGAATTTATAACAGTGGTGATTCGAGGTCACAGTACTATTTGCCTGAATAAGAGCAAAGTAGTGAAAATATATACACAGAGAACACTTACGTATTATAGCTGTGAATATAAACTTTATGCAAGGTCATCTGCTGTAGTGAAAAGATGTGGATTATTATTCGGTGCAGTATGTCACTTGTCTCTGCAAAGAACTGGTCAAATCCCCAGCACTTTTCCTGGTCTGCTTCAAGAATATTCGCAAGGACAGGTGTGAGCAGTACTTGCAGACCCCTACAGGACACCAGGAAGAGAGGAGACTACTTGGATCTTTTCACCTTGTACCCGATTGCAATATTTCATTTGACTTGTCTCATGCACACAAATCTATTATCCCTTGAAGAATACTCCAGTCCTTTTTTTTTTTTTCTCCTTTACTGAAGAACAAAATGTTCAATGGCAATGTCCACTGTTTTGCATTAATACACATACTTTATCTCTTTCCTTTTTAGGCTTAACTATCAAGTATTTTCTCCTTCGTATTTGACAAATTTCATGGGCATTGGAAAAAATGGCATGCAATTTAAAGAGTCTCCATTGTAGAGCTAAGGCCACTTTCTACCACTGCTGGGCAGTAGTGTTTTACCCAGCTCACCCCACACACTTAGCACAGTTCATCACTTTGAAGGAAGCTACTGCCATTTACGGTTTGCTGGCTGAGCTGCTTGTGTGAGCACACTATGTTGCTTTCAATCAAAATCAGCTGGGTTAGCAAAGACTCATTATCTAAATTGCCAACGCTAACAGAATTCATCCTGATTGAGATGGGGCTAAATAAACACTCCACTCATGCAGCTCAACCGCTGCAAAGAAAAACGTGCAACTACTGCCTTACAGTCATCGCTATTCTAGGAGAAAGGCCAGCTTAAATTTCTTGTATTTCTACTTTGAGAATCTGAATTGCAAGAAACTTTATGGATCCTACTCCTGTGTTATCATGAACACCTTCTTCAAAGTTTTAACATTATGTACACGTCAAACCTGAATCCAGCAGTAAAACTGGTAATGTTCTGAAGCAAGCTGCAGCGGCTTACAAGCACACTGCTGGCCCCAGTACAGGTCAGTGGTCGCTGTGCTCAAACTCACTTTAGTACTAAACTCACAACAGTAAATACTGTTTAAATGCTACTTGAAAATATTACTGTAAACAGATGTTTAATGAAAAAAATTTGCTTCCTTTATTATTTTAAGCACTTCAATTATATGGAATAAGCAGAGGAAACAACAGAGCAGTATAATAAAAATATACATAAATTGCATGTTCTGCACACTATAAACTAATGAATTGATATAAACCAGACTTTCACTCTACACTCCTTATAGATCTACATATTTGGCTTTCAGAAAAGTTTGCTTCTAGAATCTGTTCACAGAACAATTTCTTTCTCTCTTTACCATGAAAGAGTAGTAACTTTAAAGTGCTGAAGAAGTCTCAGGAAGATAAATAGGTAAATGGGTTATGTGAGGTGTTTTCAAGATCATACTGAGATTAGATCTTCCATGGCTCTTCCTACTGAGTACCATGACATATGAAGCAAAAATATGATGACAAAAAAATTTAAAAGATACTATGAGAATATGTTAAAATACACTGATGAATTTTCTTCTGGCAAAAATGCAAGTCTCTGAACTGTCTTTTCTTATCATTTGCTTCCTACTGCCTAATCTTTGTAATGTCTGAAGTCACATTCTTGGAAGAAAGGGGGACTGTCAATTCAAAGGAATTCATATTCTTTCCTCGGGGCAGAGAAAATATAGTAATAACCTTTCTTCTACTCCTACCACTTCAGATTCTCAGGTGCTCATTTGTAAATTAGCAGTCATCAAACTATTTGGACAGATGGGAAGAAAAAACACTCGATAACCTAATAGTAGATTGTACTGACCTACCGATGAGTTCAAAGAAAACAACTGCAACAGTCAGATCTCCATTCCAAAGACCCAGTCCTGAGAGAATAACTGGAAAAGCCCAATCAAGTAGCATCGAAACATTTTGAGAGTAGTTCAGACTTACTTTGAAAGACTACAAGAAACAGGCATCTCCCAACTCCACTCAATTGGTCCATTTTCTGCTTTCTGTATTCCAGAAATAGCACCAGAAGGCTTGCCAGTGATTATTTTATACCTGCGATACATTATAAAAATAATAGAGACTTCAACTACTACCTCTTATACATACATCTAGTAACTAATCCTCAAAGGGGTATCAATAATATAAATCTAAACAACAGGTTGGCCTAAATTTGTATGCCTAATTATTTACAAAAATTAGGAAGCCTCACTTTGAAGACGACAGAGTGGTGCTAAAACAGTAAACAATGAAAAGGGAACACTTTGGGCTATGTTGGAGAAGCAACTTTGTCTACCTCAGGTTTGGCAAAAATTTAGGAGATTTCAGGCATCACTAAAGGAAGCTGAATTTTTTTTCACAAGTGTTAATTAATCAGTCAGATTTCCAAGGCAGTTCAATTTAGGCATTTACATGACTAACTTCCAGTATGTTCCATGGCAAGAGATGACATTTAGCCACCACAAAGTCACTCGGGGATAAAGAAGAAACAGAAGGTGGACTTTGAGAAATTACTTTCCCTTGTAAATGTCTAGCGATTTGGATACAATTTGGCATCATCTGACTTCGTACTGAACAGGCTGTTTCTCAAATTTCTCATGAAATGAATCATGGGCTTTTTGCAACAGAAAATTTCAGTTGTGCTTTCCCTTTTTGGAGGACGAGGCACATACAAAATATACGTTCCTTGCTTATCTCTCAAGCAGATACAACAACAAGAATGCCCGTGCCATAATCACAAGATGGGCAGTTCCTTCAATTAAGAAACTAGGAGTCAGCTTTGCAAGGAGTACCAGAACAGAGAATCTGGCCTATTAGAGTTCCCAATTACCACCTTGCTTTACTTTTTAAATGCAACACACAGAACAACTACGAAACAGAACTAGACTAATATGAAACATGTTCCAACCAACACATCATAGACACAGCTTCTGTTTCCCATCCAGGAGCTACCCATTACCTTCAGCCACAGTCCACAACTACGCTACTCAAAAACTGTCAGTCTCATGGGTAGCGCATGCATTTCAAGACTACCTGGGAAGACAATCATTTAAAGGACAACAAAAATTTGCAGCACTGAAAACCCATTTCAGAATACCATAATTTGGCCTGAATATCCACGTTACATACACCGCACTGCAACAGACCAGCCTAGTGCCATGGTGAAGGAAAGATGCGTGGAAAAACACCAGTATTCTGGGGGAGCTCTGATGCTTAATTCAGGTCTTAAGGTGCCTTGTTGAAGCAGAATGTTTGTGCTGGTTTTGGCTGGGATAGTTAATTTTCTCCATAGTAGCTCACGTGGTGCTGTGTTTTGGATTTGTGACCAAAACAACGCTGATAAGACAGGGAAGTTTTCGCCATTGCAGAGCAGTACTTACAAAGCGTCAAGGCTCAAGGCCTTTTCTACTTCTCACACTGCCCCGCCACTGAGTAGGCTGGGGGCGGGCAAGAAGTTGGCAGGGGACACAGCTGGGACAGGTGACCCCAAGGGATACTCCACACCATAAGACATCATTCTTAGAAATAAAAGCTGGGGGAGTGGTGGGGAATTTGCCAGGGCAGCAGTCAGCCAGGGACTGACTGGGCATCACTTGACTGGTGGTAACCAATTGGGGTTTTTTTGCATCACTTGTTTTTCTTAGTTTCATTTTCCATTGGGTTTAGGGGTGGGTTTTTTTGGTCAGGGTTTTTTTTTGTTTGTTTTTTTTTTTTACTTATTAAACTGTCTTTAGCTCAACCCACAAGTTTTTGCACTTTTACCCTTCCAATTCTCTTCCCCACCCCACTGCGAGGGAGTGAGCTAACAGCTGTGTGGTGCTCAACTGCCTACCAGAGTTAAACCACAACAAAGTTAAAGAATGTTTTTCCTTAAATATTTTCTCTATTTTAATGTTTACTGTATGTGCGTAGGATTTCTTGATAAAAAGTATTTCGTGGACAGACTTAATTTATGAACAGATAAAATTCTCCTTCTAAATTACCTACATCACTTCCTTGTTTCTACGAGGTCCTTCAAAAGGCCGGAAAGGCAAACTCCCTGTTGCAGCATGGTAAAAGGTCACCCCTATGCTCCACAGATCAACTGTTGCTCCATACTTTTTCTGATGTTCTTTCCTTAAAACTGCTCGCTCATACATATCAGGATGCTAAAGAGGAAAAAAAACCCAACACAACAGCAAAAAAAGAAGTTAGAATTGCTTTATGAACAACATAAAGAACAAAAACCCAATCTATAATTTCACAGCAAGATAATTTGTCGTTCTAAACTTCCAGCTCTTTAATCAAAAAGCAAAGTTAGCTTGTATCATAGAATTCGCTTAAGTTATTGTGACAGAATACCATAAAAGCGTTCTTAGGTGTGACAGCCACTTTTATTAAAGGTCTGCAAAATCTAATTTAAAATTTAGCTAAAGATTATAGAATAAAGCACCACTAAAGAAGAGGAGAAAGCCAGTATTCCTCCAGATGATTTTGAAAAACAAAAAAAAGAAACAAAATTGGAAAAAGATCCATAGCAGAGGAGAACATCAGTTACGATAATGTATGTGGGAAAACACGGCAGGAAGAAAATCACGTCCAAGAGGCTTGTATTGATGCTTCTCTGCCTGCCTCTCTTTGGTGTCAACTGAATCTTACCTACACCTAACAATATCCAAGCAGCTCAAATATAAACTGAAAAATATTTACAGAGATAAAGGCAAAGACATTCATAACTACAATATGGTTGTTCTTCCTTTCACACAAGGCAACAGTGGAAGTTGGACCTGGAAACCATTTAAAGGCTACTGTGCTCAGATCAGCAGAAGAACTGACACAACCCAAAGTGAAAAAGGTGGAAAGTTATAACAGCAATTATAATACAAAGGTTTAAATACTAATTCCCAACAGTCAGTCCTTCACCTATTCAGCTCTCACCACAAAGCGCCTCGGGCTTCAAACATTTCTTCAATAGAAAGTGAAATCATATGGGCTTACTAAATATTCTTCCGTGCCATAAAGAGAAACAAATTGTTCATCATCTTCAAGTTCTCTTGCAGCACCGAAGTCTGTCAGTTTGTAAACAGACTGACCGTCTTCACCTATAACACGCATTATATTGCCTGGTTTGATGTCACGGTGCACTATTCCATTCTCCCGGAGATGATTCATCCCAGCCACTTCCACAAAAAAAAAAAAACAAGAATACAGAATTTGTGCATAAATCTTGACACAGACTGCACAAGTACTGAATTATAACTCAGGCTAGGAAGACATATGTGCTTACTTTCTCATTGGGAAATGGGAATGAGAAGGGACACTCAATTAACAAAAGTACCAGGATCAGAGAATATTCTAAGCATTTTTACCTTTTTTTTTTTCTTTCAATCTGCTAAATTACAGTATTTCTTGCCCTAAGCAACATCTTTCCCATAAAATAATGGAGGAAAATTTTATAACAGGCAGACACAGGTAAACCTCATTATTTTTCTAATTTACTCTTCTGAGATTAATTATCACTACAAATTAGTATGACAAATAATCTTGAAAGCAACAAACGAAAAAGAATTATAGCAATGCTTTAAACAGAAATGGCTTAACGCAGCTATCTATACCAATATAGACATAAATAAAAGACGTGAGTCCATATGATCATATTAATTTGTTCGGTTAGTTGACAGTTAGATGACTCCTCATCTCTTGCTGTTTCAACATAAACAAAACAAGCATGACTTCATTTCAGTCCACAAATTAGACTAAAGAGCAAAGTCTACATACCCACGTCTCTCAAAACAATTAAGAACTCAGACTCTGGCAAACCAAAGGCATTAGACGGCTCCTCTAAAACTGTATATAAACTCCCACATGGACAAAATTCCATAACTAGTACTTTGTGTCTGGTTGTTGTCTGGAAAAAAATTGAAAAAGATAAGTCTGTGACTATTGTGCAAACAATGTCAGAAATTACATATAACTACAGGATCCTACTTTCAAAAAAAAGAAAAAATAAAAAGGAAATCTGTAGCTAGATCGTAAATCCCATTCTGGTGGTCTTCTTCAAAAGAAGCACGGGTGAATTTTTATATTGTTTCATGTATTCTAACTTGGAGAGGGGGGCAAAAATTAAGAAAGCCTCAAGTTGTAGGCACTCAGAGGGTTGACAGCAGTATTGATATGTGGGCAAATGAGAAAATACAGCACAGAAGAGCAGAGAGCAGTAACTGACCTTCTTTCTGCTTTACTGATCTCAGCATCTGGGTCATTTCAACTGACCAGTCTCAGTTTCAGCACAACTATTGCAATTCATATGAACATACAGTTCTACATGTCCTATGTCACTATTTTGGTTGCAAAGCAAAAGCATAAAACTGTCAGCATGAAATGATTGAAACATCTCCAACTACCAGTATGTATTAAATATTCATACATGTGGATAGCTTAAAAATCCTAATTAAAGATAAAGCTTAGGACCGTGGCTTCTTGAGATGGCTTTGAATAATCATAATCCGTGCCTAAACACTGAAAGCAAGCATATTCCAACAACAACAATAAAAAAGAAAGAAAACAAAACCCAGTGGTGCTTAGGTCAGAGTATTTATATCATCATCTATGTCACCATTTTTTAAAAATGTAACTTCATCCTCTATAGTTAAGGGTAAAGCAAAAAAGACAATTACTCTTGTTACTACCATGCATCTCGGATCACAACTACAACAATTCATTACCTCTTCTTCGATGGCAAACAATTTAACAATGTTCTTATGATTTAGTTTCTTCAATACTTCAAACTCTCGCATCTGAACATCCACAGGACGAAGGAAACTTATACTGTTAAATACTTTGACAGCATATAAATCCCCAGTTTTCTGTTCAAAACAAACAAATTACTAATCAAACAGAAGCAGAAGACAGTAAATGCACACATACCCATTATCCAAGCATTTTGAGATCTTCTGTTGTGCATACAAGCATACCCAGATCAGAAATAGTTCAAAATAGTATTTTAAGGTGGAAAATTAGGATTCTATCAAAAAAAAAATTACGTATACATTGGTTTAGTTTAATATAGACTAGTAGCAAACAGACTAGAAGAATGGAAACTCAACGTTAGCCCACAAAATCTAACTGTTTTTAAAAAAAGAATAGTTGGCATAAGACTACACATTTAAGAATGACCCATAAACTTAGCTGAAGAATAATTTTTCAGCAAGAGGTAAGCCACTTGCACAAATCAGTAAGAGACATGCACATACTACCGTTGAAAATCTTGGCTTGCTTAAGTTAAAAGACAACTTTCTGGAGCTGAACATTGCTCTCTCTTTCTTTATTGTTCTGTTTATACTGATAAAGCAGTATTTTGTTTTTTCAAAGAAGGCAGTGTCCAGCCCTACACACCACTCATGCAAAATCCTGAAGCAATTCAAACCCACATAATAAGTGACAGGAGCACAGTCATGAGCTTAATCAGAGACTTAAGTTCTCAAGTGGGACTAAGCCCTAACATGCTCAGGCACCCACAGCGCCAGCTGAAAGTGCGACTCCTGTCCCTCTTAGGGCAAGGCACCTCCCTGCACCCACTCTAGGAATAAGCTTACATTTGCAGTCTTGTGTGTGACAGATTCTTTCTAAGGGCAAAGCCTCCCTGTGCTTAGACGAGGTGTGCTGCACAGCACGCTTACGTGCACTACTGGTGCCCAGGTAAACGGCACAAGCTGCCATTTTGACAACAAGCTGCGGTCATGTGCTCAGACTAGTGAGGGTGATGAGAGGTACAACCATGAAATCGTAAGCTTGACAGGGGACTCATTCTGTGTCAAAATTCACTCATCCAGAAGCGCACATTAGCTGCTAAATTATTGCTTAGTGTTGCTTCACAGTTAAATATGGAACATAGAAAACACTGCAGCTTATATATAACTTCATACTGATTCCACACTGACTGTCATTACTATAGGGGAACATTACTTTCAGAACTAGGCTCACTTTCATTTTGTGAGACATACTGTGAAATTCACAGGAATAGAACGACCTACACAAGTAAGGTCATTTTAGCCCCTCACTCAGGTTACAATATGCACATCCGTATGTCATTTACATGGCAAAACTGCTCAAAGATGTACTACTTCGTACTGATCACTCAAGGCATGTCACCAAGAAGATGGTGTCCTAGACACTCATGAAGCATTGACTTACAGACAAAGACTAACAGCAAGTTCATCCAATACGACAATATGTTAAGAATATTTCGCTTATGGTACAAAATCACAAAAAACTGGTTCGAAAAGAACAGGAAAAAACTATGAAAAGGGAATTTAACAAAGATAAAAATAACATGTCACGCAATAAAAACTGGTAAGACTTTTACTCCTATTTAAATTCTTAAGCAAGGAGTATTTTTTCCATAAAACTGAAGAATGGAGGAATGAAGAATTAATAACAGTTAAGGTTAGTTACAAATTAAGTTACAAGGACAAATAATACAATATTAGAAACAAATCCTCAGAAATAACTGTATAGAACTCTAATTCCATGGATGAATATTAAAAATTAAAAACTAAGTATGAACAGTTACAAAGATATATTTGCTTTCGGCCTAAATCTTGAACAGTTTTTCACTGATTTCATGACACGACTCACATATGAAAACATTTCAATTTCACATGTTACTCAGATTAGTAATTCCTCACAAACCTTATGTCGTCCCCGGAAAACATTTGCAGTAGCTCCCTGTCCTAGAATGTCAGACAACAGCCAGAGGTAATTTGAAGTGCTCTGCATCGTTGCTCTTTGATGAAACAGTTTTCTTTTTCACCTTAAAAACGAAAGGTTAAATATATTGAATTATAATTTAGTAAATTTAGTAAAAAAGAGGGACTTATTTTAATTAGAAGAAAAAAAAAAGCGCCCAAACACAACTCTGAAGACATACAGAAATAATTAAAAACAACCAAGTTGAGGAATAGGAGGTGAAACAAAGAAAACCAAGCTTAACAACCAAAACTAATGCCATAGACACAACACCTCTCTGCATTTGAGGTCTTTACTCCCCAGACTTTGTTTGAAAAAATCAACTGTGAAATTGAAAACTTTATAATCCCTTTTCTGTTGTACACAGATGTTTAAATGAAACAGCAACAAAAACTATAGGAAGGAGTCAAAAATACATGTACAAAGTCTTTTAAAAATATGCAAGACCTGTAATCGAATTCTACTAACTGGTATATATGCCAAAGAACAGACATTAGAGCGGACGGCAGATATGTATACAGATCTCCTAGATCACTTGGGCGCTGGAAGTTGCACTTCAGCACAACTGTAAAGGAACCGGACTAACTACTTACAAAAAAAATATTTTTACATGAGCTAGATAAAAGTCACAATTAACACAAGTATTTTCAGCCACTTGCTAGAACCACTCATCACTACCAGAAGAAATTAAGAGACATTTCTCTCATTTCTAGAATTTCACATTTGGTATGTCACATCATTTCTAGAGAGACAGCCTGGCTTCCTCACCCTTCCTGAAATGTAAACTGTCAAGACACTCAGGCCTTCACAGATTCAAAAGAAAGAGGAAAAGGAAGTTTGATTAAATTAAAACGATTAAAAAAACACATTAGAACTGCCAGATTTCACCCCTTCCCAAAACAGCAGGAACTGCAAGTGAACAGCCTTACCTTTCTGGTTTAACTAAAGCACCGATTCTGCCATTAAATCCAGCAAAAGGCTCTAAGATCAAAGATGTAGCTTCCTGTATCTAAAGAATCTTAAGAGCAAAACAGCCACTGGACTGAGGGAAGGTCCTACAGCAGCAGCCTTTCCTCACGGCCCGGCAGGGGACCCTGCATCCGCCTGCGTTACCTGACAAGAAACAGCTAACCCATACTCAAAAGAAACAAAAAAGCCTTTCTTCTAACTACTGGAAGAAGAGGTATGACAGAATTTCCTGTGCATGTTTATTACGAGAAGGCAGCTGGCACTTTTTGAGCTCCCTAGTGCACGTGATGACCCCACCAGAAGCCTCGTTGCCTGCCAGCCACTGCAGCACCGTTCGCCCATCCCGCTCCAGCAGCCAGCTGAAGCACCCACCTCTGCGCCGTTCCTCATCGTACCCATGCCACGCCACCAAGAGACAAACATTTTCTCATGACTTTGAACACATTTCTCCATACGTAGTGACTGCAGATTTCATCTAGCTATTTGCTCATGTAAGACGTGGAGTTTCTTGCAAAGCTGCCCCAAAACGACCAGGCAATGCCATGCAGCATACGGAACGCAATGACACTTTGCAAAGACCTGACACTAAACTAAATTCAGAGTCACGCAGCAACATCATTTTAAAAATCTAGCTAAAGTTCTTAATGCCTAGAGAAGGGAAGCAAGGTTATATCTCAAATCTGAACCAAAAAAAAGCCCAACATCACACCAGAAACCCTTCCAATTCTCAGTTAACTCTGACAAGACAATTTGCAATAGTAGAATAAGGTAACTTCTCCCAGCTGGCAACTAGTGGAGATGCCAAAGAGCTTTCTGTGATGCAGGCATAGAAGGTAAAGGAAGAGGTCTGCAAGGAAATAATGCATAGCCCACTCTGTAAACCATTTGTAAAATCTCTGAATTAAAAAATTCCTCATAATTAAAACCCTGCTTGTAACAAGCCAGCTGGCACACTACCAGTAAACATGTATTTTATAAATTATTTCAAGGCAACATTCATTAGGCTCATACCAAGACGAACAAACATAACGAATCCTTTCTAGGCAGACAGAAAGTGCGCAGAAGGATCAAGTAAACATAGAGTTTCTTCACCAATGTCTAGTCAAATACTGAAACTTTAGCAGCTTATTAGAGACTGAATTATTTTGCTGCCTAAATTGATAAAGATGCGGTAGCTTATGTATGGGATCAGCTCTCTACCTTCTTACTTTCTAATTAAATTTGCATGAAGGTCAACGGGTGAAAACATAACAGAAGGACAGGTCTGCGACAGATTGAGCTTGAATATCATACAATGGACTTAAAAAAAAACCCCAGCAAGTCACTAATGGGTTCTCAAGGTCTGGGTTTTTTCACTCATAAAACTACAGATATAATTATGCCAGTATTAATCCCAGGGTACATATCCAGCACCAAACCAAAGGCAGCGTTGCACTACTACACTTCTTTTGTCAAAACAGTATTTTTATAACAAAGTCTACACTCTTTTGACAGGGTCTTCACTTTCAAGGCATAAAGTCTCATTCAGCTTCAATTTTAATCTTCAAATTGCAATAATTTGATTCACTAACTTATATAATGTTAGACTTGCTTTGACTTAATACCTTTCCTTTCTTAGACTGATTCAGAACTGATCTTTACCAAATACTCAGCATCTCAAGTGTTCTTTTCGTGTTTCCCCTTATCTTCCTAGACCAACTCACTAAGAGTTCCATATTAAGAAAAGTGCATCTCTAACTGTACAATTGGTCCTGTCACTGGATTTAATAGTGAACTTTCTTCACGTCTCACTTATGGTCATTAAGTCTGATATCATATGAGTCACAAGTTCCTCACATATATCTAAAGGTACCTCTCCTACCAGCAGTTTGATTTATTGTCTCCCATGATTCATTAGCATTTCAAGGGTTTGGGGGCTGCTTTTTGTTGGGTTGGTTTGTTTTTTTTTTTTTTAAATATTTTTCTGCTTCTGGTGATGCTACCACTTCTTTATTTGTCAGCAGGGCGAACTGTAATAGAAAAAGACTGCATTGCTAATGCAATGATTTTTTAAAAAAAAAAATCCTAATGCTTTGAAGCAGGCATACCGACTGCTTCTAATTAATACGAAGAAGTTTACTGTTACCTCAGGCATGCGGGATAAGCACACAAAGCAGGTAGTCCCCTTGTTAACAGCTGCAATGTACAAGTTCACCAGGCAAGTAGGGGCAGATGATCAAGTTAATTTGAAGATCTTTCTGTCTACAGGCGAGAGCCCATACACCACCAAAGCCAACAGGCAAAGTGCTACAGTTCCAAAGAAATGTTGTATTACAGAGTCTGGTAAATATGAAGGTTTTATACTTTCCTGTACACCCTCTCTTAATGCCTAGAAAAGAAGTTTCTCTCCCTGAAGTTCCTGCTTTCTTCACCTAACCTCCTTGTGGGAGTTTCCAGCCCAACAACCAGTATCCAAATTATGGAAATACCCTGCCCTGGGCCACACAAGGTGCTGCTTGAACCCATCTGAAGCAACACATGCTCCCAAAGGCTTGCAAAGCAAATGGCGAGCCTGACTCCAGCGCTGCTCATCACCACTGCTCTCGGCGTTTCCAGTCCATAACTGGCGAAGAGGACTCGGCCTCTGTCAGGGATGGCGGCTCCTGGAAAGCTATGGAGGGCCACAGGCTCACCGGAGCGACCCAGCACCCAGAAACACAGGGAAGGCACAGTACCGGAGCTCATCTCCACAACAGGCCATCCTTCCTGAGGTGAAAGTTTAACAACTTCTACAACCACAATGTGATGCCACTGCCTGGGGAAAGCTTTAGGTAAACCACTGGCAAAGATACACTTCGCGCTTTACCCACCCCACCGCC